TCGAGCTCAATCGGATCGATTAAGGTGTTTACATGAAGGCTTTTCAGTCCGATTGAGCCGTCAATCCAATTACAAACTGATTATTTGGTTGCATGTAAATGTAGCCATTGTGTCAAATTATGCAATTTTGACTCATAAAATCTTGCTGTGTCGTGAATAATAAACATATCAGACTATATGATGCTACCCAACCATTCATCACATGCCGTCATTAACAACGTGCCTGCTCTCATCAGTAGCGCGGGACAAGACAGAAGGTGCTATGAGTGTAAACAAACAATGGCTAGCAAACAGCCTGTTTTGCTGGAAAACACAAATTTGGACACAAATCTCGATGAAAATAGTTTTTATTTTACCTTTTTTCACTGTGTCGTGGTAGTCCCTCATCATAAATGCAGGAGTATTGTTGCCGTAGCTCCACAAACATTTTCCTCCATTGTAAATTTACACATAGCAGGACCGATACCATTGTCTCCCTTTCGTTTCGGCATGTTTGAAAGCTTGTACAAAGGCGCTTCTATGCTCCTATTGGCCAGTGTCATAGCTGTGATGGAACTTGTCGTGTACGATGGGGAAAAAAAATTAAACATGCTAGTCTTTCTGTGTTGACGTCGTAAAGCATTGCAGAGGCGTCGTGCACTATGACACACTACACGAGATGGAAAGACTGAATCGTGCGTCCCGACGCCCATTGTCGTATAATATTTTTAGCTGTATAAAGCAAACAAAAGCGTCTATTACAAATCCAACACAGTAAAGACAGCAGCGTCCGTGTCCCTAAGTCCCAAATGCATTGCGTTGCTGACTTCACGTTCCCAGACCCTATAACGTATCCGTCTGAGGTATTCCCTCCACACGTCCAAATTTCTTGACCTCACCTCTGCTTCAATTTCATTGGTTGAATCTGTGAACCAATAATTTTCCTTTGTGCCCTCAGAATATTTTTAAGTAAAACTCCCATCTGCTAACAGCAGAGGATCGATTGTCACATACTGTAAAAATATGGATGTTAAATGTAATCTCGTACTCACGTCAAAGGCGTCAAAACTGCATGGTCAAGTGTCTTTAGCATCACTATTAAGACTCTAAAGGCATATGGATGAACAAGAAATGGTATTGCTTGCAAATGTTCGCCTTATGCGTCAAATCATGCTTTAGTTTTTGAGACATTGGCAGTGAGAACATTTAATGAATGTGAAGGCCTAATGTAATAATAATAAAAAAGATAGATAGATAGATAGATAGATAGATAGATAGATAGATAGATAGATAGATAGATAGATAGATAGATAGACAGGTTTGGCTATTTCCATTGTGTAGTAGATATGAAAGTGTTTTGCTGAGGTCATGTAATCGTGGTGGAGGGTCACAGGGTTCTGCAAGAATGGGAATATCGATCACCTGTGCAATTAGAGAGGCTAGGGAGAGGGGTTGAGCAGGGACGATGTATTATTTGTTCAATTCAATATAACACAACTTTATACCATCAAGAAATATCATTCTGTGTCTGTGCAATAAATAAGGACAACAAAGAGAAATTGTGCCTCACTGATATTTTATTGTTGCGTCACAAATGCATTAAGTTCCTGTTTTAGCCTCTCAGTGGCGTTTGGTAATGACAGAGTAGCTGCTACACATTGTTTGTCTTCATATTCTGCCACTTTCTCTTCTTATTTTGCCACTGCTTGAGCCTTTTATGAGCTCGTATATCGAAATAAAGTTCAGATTAGAGTAAATTCCTTGCACACTATTTGATTCAGTTAATAGCAGTGACGTACAAACACATTCTATTCAGTAAATATGACTAATCCAGATGACCACGCAGGTCATATTCTGTAATTGGAGGTCTGGTGACTGTTTTTAAGAACAACATTTGACACACACATACACTCACAAACAAACAATCAAAAAAATACAAAATAAAATAAAATAAATTTGATACAAAATGTGAGTCAATGTAGGGATGTAGAGATAATGCTGCTGAGATGTTTCTAAAATCAATGTAACTTAACTGCAAATGGGGTGCAATGTTTTGGAACAACTGAAATACTGAAAGTAAAACCTTTTACAAGACTTAATTCCAATGATGTAAGAATCAGTTTAACCTGATCAGACAGTACAAACTGGCTTGGGGAGTGTGTCACATCCATACAAAAATACAAAGCCTGTGGAGGATCACAATACATAAGCAGATGTATGTGTAGGTCCTCTTATTTTTTCTGCTTTATGTGGATTACAACACTTTGAATAAAATATGACTTGGGAGACAAATGAAGCTGGCAAGATCGAAGCTGAATCCTGCTACTTGTTTGTCAGTTAATTGATGTGTGCACCTTTCATTTAAATAATGCAACACTTAAGGGTTAGTTCACCCAAAAATGAAAATTAGACTGTGTTTTACTCACCCTCGAGTCATTCTAGGTGTATATGACTTTCTTCTTTCAGACGAATCCAGTCGGAGTTATATTAAAAATTCATGGCTATTCCAAGCTCTGTCATTGCAGTCAGCGGGTGTTGCAGTTGAACACTTTCTCTCACTTCCGGTATCTGTCAAACGCAATCCAGCGGATGACGCAGCACGTATGCGCAGCATGCTTGTTTGTTTGTTTATAGGAGCAAAGAAAGCAAAGTTTCCTTACTTTAGCAAAGGAAAACTAGTCTCCTCTTGGTTTATATCGAAATCCTCCGACACTTTTCTTTGCAAATCCTCGGTTTGTACTTCTAATTCATGACCGGCGTTTTGTTTTGTTCTCTCGCCGCATTCCTCACTAATCATGCAACGCTGACGTGCTACGTCATCCGCCGGCACGGCTTCCGCATATGACAGATACCGGAAGTGAGAGAAAAGTGTTTATGATGTTTGAAATATGGATATTTTCCTTACAAAAACACATAGATTCGCTACAGAATGCCTTTATTCACCCCCCAGAGCCATGTGCGGCACTTTTATTATGAATGCGCGAGCTTTATTTGACGACTTGGGGACTGTTCAACTGCAACACCCGCTGACTGCAATGATAGAGCTTGGAATAGCCAGGACAATTTTTAATATAACTCCGACTGGATTTGTCTGAAAGATGAAAGTCATATACACCTAGGATGCTTCGAGGGTGAGTAAAACACAAGCTAATTTTCATTTTTGGGTGAACTAACCCTTTAAGTCGTTCATATAGCACTTGCTCCCATTAAGCACTGTTATAGCTGTACTAGGGGTAATAGTCTAACAAAAATCATATTTATAATGTTTTACAGTTTTTACATTACCAGTCCTTAAAAGTGACAAGCAAATAAGTAACTGGATACATTATAAAATCATTCATTTCACAGACTGCAATGTGTATAGGTATTATGGGTGATTGTTTGAATTGGAATGTTTTTTTGTAGTTTGTCCTTCTAATGCACATGGCAGCAGAACTAAGCACCGTTTTGTTTAGTTTTTTTGTAACTTGCATTACAGATGCATTGTTAAAATATTTCTAAAAGTTATGTAACACCTGTCAAGTAAGATCTTGTCTGTCTGGCCAATCAGTACTCTAATGTTGAGATCAGGTTGATTTTAAACCACTGTTACATTTTGTTTTTGGCAGATAATATCAGCCTAGTCCACTCTTGTCTTGATATCTGTTCATGAAGAGAATTTCCACTTCAGATTATCATGGGGAAATTATCATGTTTCTTGGACGCTGTTGAGAGGTATCTATCTGCCTTTCTTTCTGTCTTTCCATCTGTCTATCCATACATCAATGTGTAAATCTGTCTATCACCAAATTATTAGTTTATTAAAGAGATTTCAAGTTATTCAGAAGCAAGGTTTCTAAATTAATTTTTTACCAAGGGCCAAAATACTGTTAAAAATACTTTTAACAATATTGTACATAGCCAAGGGCCACCAACCTCCATGTTATTATTATTATAATAAGCATAGTATTTGTTGTGGTGCTGCAATTGTTATTATTTTAGTTGTTGTTGTTATTTTAACTGTCATGACATAAACATATTTTATAACCCCCCCCCCTTCAATATTAGAATATTTTCTATATTCTATATATAGAAGTATATCCTCAATATTTTTATAATATATATATATATATATATATATATATATATATATCTTTTTTTTTTTTTTTTGTATAGAGATTTACAAACTACACAGCTTTGTCTGTTGCGTATTTTTAAAAAAAAGAAGAATATTTAGATTGAGTTATTAGAGCTATTACCATCAACATTGTTCTTTATTGGGCATTGTTTCATTTTTTTATATTTTAAGGACTTATTTTGGTGTTAATTTCTCATAGAGAGGATATCGTGTAATTTAATGTAATGAGAGTCAGGATTGAGAAGAGGCCCAGGGCACAATTAGCTCAATAAGTTAATCATCTTTATTGAAATCACAAAGTTACAATATAATTCCTGCACCATCGGTCACCTAAACCCCATGCCTTACAATATTTTGAAGATCATTTGTAACCAAACGATATTGTTGCCTCTTGACCTCCATTGCATGGACATTTTATAAGCCCTACCTATTTATTTTTGAATCCCCTTTAATTTGTGTTATGTAGCAATTCTAACCCCACAGAAACAGGTTTTTAACTGTAGGCTCTAAAATAGAGAAGAAATAGAAAAGCAGGGCATACATATTGTGTAAGGATTTACAAAAATGAAAGTGAAAGTTTGCTCATAAACAGAAAATGAATATTATGGAGAATGTTGCTGTTTATTTTAAATACACTTTAAAAAATGAATGGTGACTCACTTTGTCAGTGACAAACATTCTGTTGAACATCATCATTTGTATTCCACTAAAGATAAGAGAAGTTTCCTTTTGGGTTAATCTCTTTATCTGCGTCCCAACACTGCATTCTGTAGTCCTGCCACTGAACAAAACTGTAACATTGTTTTTATTCTGGGCTTGAACATGGCACCTGCACATTATGACTGTCATCTTATAATTTATTTATTTATTTATTTATTTATTTTTATAAAACAGGTTATATGTACTCATGGATGAGTGCTATATACTATTGTGTATGCTCATCTCTTATTTCTTTAATGAACTATCTACAAGCAAGACAGCAAGGTGACGAAGAATGTACACACACAAACATACACATGTCTGTATAATATATTCAAATGAAAAAATATATATATAATAATCAGTTCTCAAAACTGTCAAGTTTCAGAATATGGCATATTGCATATTCAATGATGACAGAATCAATTAACTGATTTGAAAGGATTTGGTCTGAGATAAGAACATTTTGTCCTACAAAATATAGCTTACCACAATTTTGAGATTTTTAGTTACTTGAATTTATGTGCAAATAATACATATTTCAAACTATACTCTGTCTACTTTCAGATATCTGTTTGCTGCCTTTGTGATTGTATTGCTTTTAATACTGACACACATACTGAGATGTGACAGAGTGACACCCCGTGATAAGTGTTATGATAAAGCAGCAGTGGCAGCGGATGCCAGGAATTGCTCTGAGATCGGGAGGTACGATTGCAAAGAGCCACATTTATGATTCTGGGTTCCTTGTGTGAGCAGTGATACTCCTGCAGCTCTAGAGTCTGTGGTTTCAGTACTAAGATGTTCTCATGCAGTCTTTTTCTGCAGGGATATCTTGAAGTGTGACGGTTCAGTAGTTGATGCTGCTATCGCCACTCTGCTGTGTTTGAGTGTGGTTAATCCCCACAGTATGGGCATCGGAGGAGGAGTGGTTTTCACCATATACAATGCATCAACAGGTACTGGGGCACTGGGAGACTTAAACCAGAGACTCACACAACAATCTCCCACAATGGCTACAGTTCTTGTGTTAGTTGGGAAGAAATAAAAACGTTTGTGCAAGTGAATTTTTCCTGACTGTGTGTATAATATTTTATGAAAAGTGTGGACCAAAGGTGAAGAACAGTGTTCTTAGTGAGGGGTTTAAAGGATGCAGATGTTATTTGATAGTAATACGTTTTTTTTCTCTTTTTTAAGCAAAGCAATTTGTAGCACACTAATTATTAAAGATACTGTTTCCCTGAGAAAGGGGCCTGTATATTGGCCGCAATGCTGGTGACACACTTAACTGGGAGTAAATATGCTGTTTGTTCATCAGCAAACCATACCATGATCAGGTTCTGCCTCTGTCCTACCTCCTCGTTGATCATTCATATTTTAAGGTTTAAGTTAATGTTATGGTTACAGGCATGTACTGTACTCCTTTGTTATCAACCTATTATTTCCCTCTGATTTTGGGGTATAGGTTATGGTTAGGATCCTCATTCGAATTGTGATCCTTTGACAGGAATTTTAATCCAGGAATCGCAGTGGCTGCTATGACCAATAAACCTCCAACACGTCACTGTTAAATGAAAAATAAAAGTTCATGTTTTCACCCTCAGGAACGGTGGCGACGATTAATGCCAGAGAAACTGCTCCACTGAGTGCTTCAGAGAACATGTTTGGCAAAAAGTCAAAGGATAATCCAGGTAAACCACCAATGATGAACATTTTCCAAACTCTAGTGACCACTATGATTTTACAACACTGAAAAGATTCAGTAAGCACATGTTATCATTAAAACAACAAAGTGAATTTCTCTTATGATTTCTTGCCATTTTAACCCCTGAATGACTAGATCACTCCTCTGTGTTTTGTAATGAATAGAGGGACTGTTTATAGCTGTACCAGGAGAACTGTATGGTTATGAGATGGCACACAATAGAAGCGGGAGACTGCCATGGAAGGAGCTGTTTGAGCCCAGTATAAAGCTGGCACGCGATGGATTTAAGATTGGAAAGGCCTTAGCCAAAGCCATTAAAGAGGAGGAGGAAAAAATTAAGAATGATCCAGTTTTGTGGTAAGATTAATTCATTTTTGAACTAACGTAAAACTAGTTAGTTGTTTGTTTGTTTTTTATTAAAAACACACTTCCTCAGTGGCAGCTGTTTTGGCAGATGAACGTCATAAATATCCTAAAGGCAGATCTGACACAATTAAAGCATCAGCCTTTTCATTTACATAACATTATCTTGCTTCTGTTCTTGTCTCTCTTTTTTCCAGTGAAGTGTTTTGCGACTTAAACAAGGCTATCTTGAAGGAAAATGATCATATAAGATTTCCCAAACTAGCTGACACCTATGAGAAGATAGCAGAACAAGGAGCAAATGCTTTTTACAATGGATCATTGGCTCAGAGTATAGTGGATGACATCAAGGCTGAAGGTTATTTAATGCTTAAATTTGACTCTACTCTAGAGATATATATTTTTTCAAAGCATGCAACTATATGAATCTTTGTTTCTCGTAACACAGGAGGGATTATAACACGTGAGGACCTAATGAATTATACGGCAGAGTGGAATGAGTATGCAGTAAACTTCACTGTGGGGAATTACATATTTCATGCTCCTGATGCTCCATTCGGTGGACCTGTGCTCGCTCTGATATTCAATATACTCAAAGGTTAGTGAGTGCAGGACCTCTGCTGGCCAAATGGGTGCCCTAAGCAGTAATTTACTGTTGTGCCCCCAAACCCCCGAAAAATGACTGTCTGCCATTCCATTACTGCTGTCAGTTCCCAGGACGGTTGGAAAATAAGTTAGGAATTGGCAGTCAGGCAGCTTCAACCAAGTGGGGTAATACTCTCTTGACTGTAAGCTCTGTGCCTCTGAGACTCAAAACACTGCTGTGTGTTTGCTATAATTTCATTACCTCCTTCATTAGTTACTTCAGCATTTGACTTCAAACACACAAAAGATGAATATGAAGACAGTTCTGCAGGCAATTACAGTAAACAGGGACTGAAGTCAAAATTCAACACAAAACCCCGCCATATAACCTAATGAATTTCAAAGCATCATTCTCTATATGATCGTTCAACACAACAGCTCCTGTTTATATTAATAGTTCAATTCAAATTACCTTGAGTTCATTCTGTAAAACAAGACAGTTCATGCCATCATTTATTTTTTTTAATTTTTTTTTGCTAAATTATGAGTTACTCCAGACACTATTTCACTATTTACAGTAAATTTTAAGATCATATTGTACAATCTGAAAAGCAACTATTATAAAGGACCAAAGACTTGTGCAGTGTACACCATGCACTGTAAAAAATTATCGTGATTTTAACGGTAAAAACCTGTAAAAAAAACCTGTAATAAATTATTAACAGTAAGTTTCCTTACTATATACGGTGAATAACTGTAATAGATCTAACCTGTTTTCAAGAAAGTACACTGTAAAAAATTGTGCCGTTAAATAACAGTAATTTACTGGCAGCAGGGTTGCCAGTTCGGTACTGTTAAGTTATAGCTTTCAACCATTAATTTACAGTTTTTACAGTGTTTTACCGTAATTCTACCATGGAAATTAACACCGCTCCCATTAAACAGTTCGAGTTTAAAAACTAGCGTTCATACAATATTAGTACTGCAAACTTATTTCATTTGAGTCCACTGAGAAGGAATATTTCTTAGTATAAAACTGCAAACTCTTAATGTGTAACAGCAGAATAACTAAAAACATGACTTTAACTCAAATCATTGCAGTTCACTGTTAGCTACAGCACACATGTGTGAGACGAAGTAACAAATAGATCATTACTGTATCAGCAACTCCACAGTTACTGTCTTTAAATAAAGCAGCAGAACATCAGTGTTTGTGGCTCATCATTGACTGAAGCACAGGCTCTACTCTCCAGCACAATGGAGACCCACTAAACTACATTAAACTAACAGATCTCTCTTGTGCCAAAACACAAGAATACTCTCCTTATCAGTTCACGACTTTGCATAACTTTTTTTCTATGAATGTTCACAAATATTTCAGTCAAATTAACTTTTTTCATTTGGTAAATCTGACTCTTACGTTTTACAGTATATTGCTGTTTTTCCTGGACTTAACGACAACAAACTGTAGAAAAACAGTTATTTACTGGCAACCGTGCTGCCAGTAAGTAACTGTTTTTTTTTACAGTTTGTGGCCGTAAAATAATTACAGTTTATTACTGTTAAATTACATTTCATGCTGTTTTTTCCATCTTACATATTTAACCCTTTATACCCCACAACAAAATCCTCAGTTTTAAGTGAACACTTATAATGTGTTCACACTACAGAGTGAAGCAGTGCTGAAGTTAATGAGATAATTCTGTGATTAATTAAGTGCTGCTTGAGCATTAGTGATGAACAGCTGCTGTGAACAAGCAGAATCACTGAAGAAAAGAGAAAGAAATGAAACTGACTTCAGCCACAGCCTTAGATGAAATTAACCGAAATAAAACAGCAGATGATGATTAAACAAATCCACACACCGCATTACCAGCTTCACTCATTATTAACCAGTTTGACTTTATTTCTGTCATATACCTGAATTTTTTGTTGAGAATTAACAGAGGTGTATATTGTACTGGAAATGTTTTGTTTGGTCTCACCATTTTGGCGATCAGTGGTGGCTTTAGTTGTGCTCTTGACCCTTGACTGTTTAATGCTAGTTTTTCTCTGCTGTTGTAACAGTGTTTGTTAACACATCTGTTATGACCAAAAATGCTAAGAGACCTTGCAGTTAAGTGGGTTGATAGCTTCAAATAATGATGTAATGAATCACTGATGTCAATGGATGTCTAACAACATTATTTAGTCTTTTGTTTTTGTTACCAATACGGCTCAGCAAGACATGCAGACAAACTGTTGTGAAGATATTTAATAACCTTGTATGCACAAAACTTTAGGAACAGCAATGGCTTTTAGACACACACAGACATCAAGAATCAGCACACGAGTCTCAACAATGGTGACTACCAATAAAAAAATTAAATAATGCCGCAATGCATGCTGGGTGCCAGTACAAAACTCCCAGCATGCATTGCAGAATGATTTTTTTTTCTTTTGATTGTCACCAATGTTGAGATTCATAGGCTGACTGTTGATGTCTCTGTGTGTTTAAGTGTTGCCATAGTTTAAAACTTTTATTTGTGCGTATTTAGTTTAGGAATATGTCACAATGATTGCAGCAGTATCAGTGGCGCAACTCAAGAGTATAAGTGATATATCACACACTTAATAAGAGATTAAACATTAGGTGAGATCAGACTAGTCCATGATGGTTTTGACGTCACAAACACCAGTTTTACCTGATCATAGATGCTTTCGGCTTTTCTTACTACAAAATCTGCGTTAAACAAACAATTAATTTAAGCAACTAACGAAAAACTTTTTTTAAAAAGTCAAGGTTCAAGAGCCCAACAAAAGCAAACACTGATCGCCATTATGGTGACTTCAAATGAAAGTACAACACCTAAAATCTCAATAAGAGCTTTTGTACACATATGACAGAAATAAAGTCACACTGGTTAGTAATAAGAAGCTGGTGATGCTGTTTGTGGAGCTGATTAATCCTCCTCTGCTGAGATCTTGATCAATTTAATGTGTTTTATTTTCAGTTGATTTCATCTTTGGCTTTGGCTGTAAGTTGTGTTTTTCTGCTCTTGTTTCTCTTTCCTAATTTAATTTACGAATGCAAACTGTAAAAAAACTAGATTACTGGCAACCACAGCTGCCGGTATTTCACCGTAAAATCAAGAAAAGAAAACAGCAAAATACTGTAAAACTTAACAAACAACTTCCTGTTGTGTTTTGTGGGTCATCATTGTGCTGGAGAGCAGAGCCGGTGTTTAAAGGGGTCATATGATGCGAGTTCAAGTTTTCCTTTCTCTTTGGAGTGTTACAAGCTGATTGTGCAGAGATAAGATCCCTGAAGTTGCAAAGACTAAAATCTCAAAACCAAAGAGATATTCTTTATCAAAGTTAAGATGCTGCCACGCCCCCCAAAACGGCTCGTTCTAACACGCCCCCACATATCTACCTCACTATGTGGGAATATTTGCATAATGCGGCCCAAATGTTCACGCAAAGAAAGAAGGTGTGGTTTCAGTAACCGCAGTTAGTGTTGAAGCAGCATGTCAGGGAGACGCTGTGTGTTTCTAGGTGAAAGCAAAAGCACTTTATTTGACCTTCCGGAAGTAGATGCATTTAGGAATCTTTAAGATTACTTTCAACAGAACAGCAATGCATTTTATGGACGACCGTTTCGTGAACCTAGGAGAGGAGGTAATTCTGACTTTGCTATGACAATCTGGCGCTTCTGAATCAGCTACTGTTTTGTTTCTTTTTTGAGAAAGAGCGAGCGAGAGTCACATCACTCTTTAATAATTTCAATCACACATGAATGTGTGCTGCTGTTATCTGCAAGAGATTTGTGTTGAATTGATACTTCTAATGACTTTGCATAAATTTTTTACATGGATTTAAGCAAAATAGTTATCATTACCAATATGCTTGCATTACTTGATGCAATGCTGAATCCCTGACAATTTTCAAGTGACGGCTGAAAATTAATCTCTTTCGAAGCTGCTTGACTTCATCATCATCATCATCATCATCATCATTATAAAAAAAAATTTAAACAAATTATAAAAATTATCTCTCTTTATTTATTCCTTCTCTTTCTAGCTTGTACTTATTTGAACAATCTCTAGAAACTTGGTATTACAAGCACTTCCTGTATCTGTTTGCCTCTTTAAGAAGAATCGCTTTATGTATCCCCCAATTGTAAGTCGCTTTGGATAAAAGCGTCTGCAAAATGACTAAATGTAAATGTAAATGTACTTAAACATTATAAATATTAATTTATAAACAAATGCCAATTAGCCAAATTAAGTGCAGTCAGTTTCTGCAAATAAAATGAGTTAATTCAAAGGTTTGCATATTAACATCATATCAGTTAATTAAATACAGTTTTTCACTGTACATTTAAACAGTTCTATAAAACCTAAAATGATGCTACCATATTTTTCACAGTAAAGTTCTGGCAACCACAGCTGCCGGTATTTTACCGTAAAATTTAACAAACTTTTTTTACAGTGTGGCTTTAAAAATCACTCCGATAACAGACACACACAGAGTGATTTTAAGAGTTTAATCGTCACCTCATTCAAGGGGAAGCAGTGTTATGCATGAAAGCAAACACACGACCCTTAACATGCATTTGTAATTCAAGAAGGCGTGCTCCGGTGCTCACGGCTGTCTGCTGTTGAGAGACCAAGTGCATTATTGTTGCTTTTCCAATCAGTACATACATGGTTTAACAATGTTTTCTTGAGTTGAATATTAATATATTGTGTGAAGAAAGCGTAGTCAAGTTGAATAAATGCTGGTGAAGGTTATGCAATATGTACTGTGCAGACAGTGGGATCGTTCACAATAACAGCAGTGGTCTTTTGCTTGTGTTTGTACTTTGTAACACCTCTTCCAACTGAGTGTTCAAAGAGAGTAAAAATGATGATGGAAAATTATAAATAAGGTTCATTTCAAATAATTAATAATTTAATCTCAGGTGACAGCCTCTCAAGCTGCAGTGTGTCCACAACAGAGAATAAGATTTTGACCTATCATCGCATGATAGAGACGTTTCACTTTGCTGATGAGGAGAGGAGAAAACTGGGAGACCCACACGATGAAAACATCACTGAGGTGAGTTCAACTCTACTTATGGATTCCTTTGGTATTTTTGAGATATTTGCAAAAGCAAAAGCAATAGCAATAGCAGCACTCTGACATATGTCCCGACTCAAGGTCCTTTGCTGAATCTGTTCCACTCTTTCTGTCTCATTGTTTCCTCTCTCATCTACACTACCTTGTCCAATACCGGCATAAAAGGCCAAAGATATAACTTACTACCTACTATACCACATGTTCTATGACTTGTGCTGCAGTGTATTCTAAGTGTTGAATCCATATGATAGCTTTGTGTGAACTTTACCTTTAACTCAACTCACATCTCAAAAACAAAATTTCTGAATTGTCTTTTGCCACATCTGATCTAACAGGAATAACTTATGTCATAGCAAACATTATTTTCTCAAAACCATTTAATGTTCCCATATTCATGAATTTTCTCACAGCATGTTTTACAGCTTGTCAAAAACATGACCTCAGAAAGCTTTGCAGACAACATCAGGAGAAAGATTAATGATGACATCAAACAAGAGAGATACGATGAGGAGTGCTATGACAATTGTCAAGTTGATGACTCTGGCACGTCTCACCTGTCCATCATCGGAGAAGACGGGAGTGCGGTGGCCGTCACCAGCAGTATCAATGACTAGTAAGATCAATATAAAGACATAGAGAGAGATCACAGTTTCTTAATGCAGTTCAATAATCTGTGCAGACTAGTTTTAGAAGTTAATCACCTAATTGTTTTCTTTAAGATTCAATCATAACATCTGGTCAATCTCATTGGAAAAGTAAGACTCATTACACTTTGGCTAACTGCTATTTGGTCAGACTAAATCTCATTCTTAAGTCTTAATAAAATGGCTGTGTTCATGCAACTGGCCACTGGTCTTGATCTGACACTCCCAGTTTTGGTTATTCAGTCTGGTTCCTCTATTTCAAAACATCATATCTCTAACAATAATTACATCCATAAACTGCTGCTTCAGACTTCCCACTAGACAGTTTTTAACGGTCAAAATACTCAAAAATAAGTATTTTTTAACTTAAGATGTAAGACTAATTTGCATAGTCATTTAAAGGGAGCTGGTGCCATTTCTCTCAGCGAGGGAACATTAATAGATTCGTCTACTGGCTCTGATAATATCAAACATGTTGTTTGTCTGTTGTCATTGTCTCTCAACTTCCAACATGTTTGATACTATCAGAGCCAGTGGGACAGGTTCTCGTGGCCTTTCAACGACCAATGAGCTCCTTGTGACACTTAAGACAGACAAGACTTGTCCTTGAGCATTTTTATCTGGGATTCACTTAAATTACTGTAAATGACTAATAAAATAAGAAAGCAAATAATGAAAACTCTGTTTATTTAAATTTTTATTCATTTATTTATTAACCATTGAAAGTGTACATTAACTTCACAGCCACCTCATGAACGTTTACATGGTGAGATTGCTGCATGAACTACATTCTAAAGAGTCACATTTCTCGCGTTCATCTAGTTTTCTTGTTCTTATTTCAACAAGCATCCTCTGACAGAGAAGAGCAATATTTCAACATGACCAATCAGACGTTTTGACATCACCTTCAAAATCAAGTTGTTTCAAACTAGCTTATGGGACTTAGTCTTCAGCAATGTTTACATTAAACAAGATTTACCCAAAAGAGTTAAATTCTGCACTTTATGATTTTATAAATTTATTTATTTAGATTTACTTTGTAGAAAAGACTCTTGTAACGGCTCATGAAGGATTTGTTCTGATTAAAGAATCACACTTCAACTGATGTCTTAACATTTAATATCACCTTTGCCAGCATCATCATCATCATGTCCTTATTTCTACACCTTTGGAGTTACTTGCAAACTAACTGATGAAATCCAAAGCATAAACCAACACACTGTTTGCACCTTCTAAACAGAATCCAGGAGACATTTGGAAAAAGAAAAAAAAATCAATCAAATTATATTTACAATCAGACAGCTCTTAGTCTATGTAATTCTCCATGTGGTTCTGAAAGAACATTCATAATGCATTACACAACCTTTAATAAACAGAATGCATTTTTGAAAAGTAAATAACTGGAATATTCAGAATAAAATACACTTTATCTGTGACAGCTACAGCACTTTTCCATTCAAGAAAATATCAAAAACACCTCAACTAATTTTAAAAACATAATGTATCTATTTTTTATAAAGTTCTGCTGCTTATTTGTTCTTTTCAATCTTCTTGTCCGGATCTGTCTGTGTCTGTGTCTGTGTCTGTGTCTGTGTCTGTGTCTGTGTGTGTGTGTGTGTGTGTGTATTCTCACAGTTTTGGCTCTAAGGTGATGTCAGACTCAACAGGCATTATATTTAATGACCAAATGAATGATTTCTGTAAACCTAAGGAGGAAAATGGACAAGACAAAAATGGGGTTTGTTACAAGAACAACCTAATTAAACCAGGTAAAAAAAAAAAAAAAAAAAAAAAAAAAAAAAAAAAAAAAAAAAATAAAA